TGGACACTGAGAGCAAACACCATGTACCTACATACAGTTTGGACACTGAAGACTGAAACTACATGTCCCCCATACTGAGTTGAATAAGTGTCCTCCCAAAATTTATAACTGCTGGAAATAGGGTCTTTGCAGATATAATCAAGTTGGTATAATGTCATTTTGGATTAGGACGGACCCTAATACATGACTGGAATTCTTATAAGAAGGAAATTTGAACACAAACACCCACAGAGGGAAGATGTCATGTGAATACTGAGGTAGATATTGGAGTTATGCTACCACAAGTCAAGAAACACTAAGGATTTCTGGCATCCACCATAACCTAAAAGAAGAAGAAAAGGATTCTTACCTAGAGCCTTCAGAGAGAGTGTGGCCCTGCCAACATCTTGATTTCAGACTGCTAACCTCCAAAACTGTGAAAGAATAAATTTCTGTTATATAAAGCCACCCAGTTTACGGTGCTTTGTTATAGCAGCCCTAGAAAACTAATACACTCACACACACAACTTTCTAGGTACATTAACATGACTTTACCAGTCCACTGTCTTAATTAGCATAACTGCTATTCTAGGAGACTCTTGCAGAAATATAATGTGATTGTTCACTACAGACCTTCTGGAAAGACCCATCAACTCTCCGGCAGTTTTCAAAATCTTTATCTTACTGTTTCAACCAAACCTAAACTGTTTTATCATGACACCTACCCAATCCTAATCAAGCCTCATCACCACCACTGAAAGATCCAACTTAAACCGAACTTCAAATTCTCAAATTTTGACCTAAGACACTACCAAAGATCTTTTAAGGTGGTGTTCTCCCTTACCACAATAAGCAATAAACTCAGCTTTGTTTTATCAATAGGTTGTGTTAGTGATATCTCATAAACTAGCATCAGATAATCCTGGCAGAAGTTATAACACTCCTAGGTCAGAAACAAAGAACAGTTTACTACTCACAACAACAACATAGACAGAGTACCATACTTTGTACTGGTTCCTCAAGCTCTAATTCCTAAAGGCCAGTGAAAGGAAAACCAAGTGCACATACTGTGGGTTGCACTGCAGGACAAGAAAACCTAAGCTTACGAAACTCCAATCTTTAAAAGGAGCTACAAGCAAAAATGACCAACCTTTTCCCAGAGAGATTATCTTAATTATCCCGGACAGCAAAGAAATGTGCCATCTGTCCTAATGGAAGCACTATTTCTATCTTCCTAGGCTGTTTGCTAAATAGATTTCTTTGAAAAAGATAGCCCCCAACAAAAGCTATCAGTACTCTGCTCAGCAAATGTGCAGAAACAGAAAAGACCCATAAGATTGAAGAGAAATGTCTCTCAATACCTATTTCCTTTGTCCTAAAAGACTAAAAAGATTCTTAGAGAATCAAGATGAAATTGGTACAATACAATGAGAAGATGTTTCCAAAGAAAATATAGAGAGCAAAAAGGTACACTTTCTTCTCTCAAAAATCCGTATAAACTAAAACCACTTCAGCAGAGTCACAATCTTATAACAAGCCTATATATCAAATATCAAAAGTAAATACTTAGATATTTGGATCCTATTTTCATTTTAAAATGTTCCATTTCTAGAAAAGTCTCTCAAACAAGTTTTTATTTTTATTTTATTATTTTTTAACTTTAAAATAAAATGCTATTTTTTTTAAATTATTTTTTGGCTGTTTCTCACAGTGAATCAAGTTTTATCACTAATTTCCAATGCCTGGCAGTGTTCATGAAATAAAAGAGACTAGTAGTTTTAAACTTCACCAATAATACCTGACTTTAATGTGGACCTTAACGCCTTTTTTTAAAATAAGAAAATAAAGACCCAGAGAGGTAAGATAGTAAGCTTTTACTCATACAGCTATCTGGAGACATTGCAGTGTAGCGTTCATTTTACTCATCATTCTGTCTCTCTCTCTTTATCCTGGGATCACTGCTTAACCTAATGGATGGGATAAAGTTAAATTACTCAATATTCTTTACAAAAACTCAGTTTTTGTTTATTTCTTTTGCAGTTAATTTTAAGTTAAATGGGCTACTATTTAAACAGTGCAAGATAGGATCTCAATTTTCAAATATTAAAAAAATATGCTTATATTGAATATATAGCTAGAAAAATCTAAACTTTATTTTTTAACAACCTCAAAATATTTTATGTGAATTAAAGCATATTAAATTTAAATTTAAATACTGCTTTTATTTTCATAAATACTTTACATAAATATTGACCTTAGAATTGTGGTTTAAAATCTAAATACCCTAAAATCCTGAAGAAATCATGACTTCTGAGCACAGCATTATCTTTGACTCTGTGTTGCATTTGCCCACTGAATAGATAACTATTCTCTTTCAGAAGTATCTCTAAAATGCTCTGACTCTGCCTAAAATGTTTTTTCTATTTAAGAAATGCTCTCTGACCACGGCGCCTCACATCTATAATCCTAGCACTTCAGGAGGCTGAGGCGGGCAGACTGCTTGAGCCAAGAAGTTCAAGACCAGCCTAGCCAACATAGCAAAACCCCATCTCTCCTAAAAATACAAAACTTAGCTGGACATGGTGGCACACATTTGTAATCCCAGCTACTCGGGAGGTTGAGGCAGGAGAATGGTGTGAACCCGGGAGGGCGGAGCTTGCAGTGAGCTGAGATCCGGCCACTGCACTCCAGCCTGGGCGACAGAGCGAGACTCCGTCTCAAAAAAAAAAAAAGAAAAAGAAATGAAAGGAAAAAAAAAGTTTTAAAAAAATGTTTTCGGAGAACACAATATGGCAGACCACTTATCTATAGAGATACTATGAAAGTTACATAATTCATCTAAACATGTTCAGAAACAAGAAAACAGTTTAAAGTTGCAGTAAGTCTTTTAGTGTCCAGGCTTAGAAGCTAGAGTCTAAACCATCCAACATTTTCTCAGTCAGAGCATAATACTTTCTCAAGACCTTTTTATTTCTATAACAAATAATGAACTAGTTTCCTTATAAATATTCAAATAGGGCTTCAAGCTACTTTTTGAGGTCATTAATTTCCCCAAGGCAGAAAGACAGTTTCTATCCTTTCATCCTACATATTCATTCAAGAAAGTTTAAATTGACTTTTGCATGCCCAACCTTTACCCTGTTTAAGTATGTTTTTAATATAGGAGAATTCTAATGTACTTGACTTTTATAGATGACTTTTGAAGCTACCTATATGAGGTTTAACGATATTAATCTATCTGTATATTTCTGATCTACCATATATTCAAGAAGGCTACCTATTATCTCCAAAATCAGGAAACACCACAAGTTCCAATAGATCCCCTTTCTAATAATTTTACATCATTTCTCTTTCTGTACTCAAAATGACCATAAATTGCAAGTTTCTTCCCATAGCCACGATGTCCGTTGTGTTCTCCTTACGTTTTAACAACATTTTTAAAAAGAAATGCAACCACAGCCTAAAAGGCAATAGTTAAATCATTACCACTCTTTAACATTAGCAACAACAAAAAGTAACTTCTATTAGTAAAAAGTATATGGGGTCGGGGGATGAAGAAAGGTTGATTAATGGGTACAAACATACACCATACACTTAGAAGAAATAAGACCTGGTGCTCAATAGATCAATAGGGTGATTATAGTTAACCTTTGTTGACTGTACCTTTCAAAATAGCTAGGAAAGAGAATAATTAAAATGTTCTTAATATAAAGAAAAAATGAATATTTAAGTTAATGGATATTCCAATTACTCTGATTTGATTACATAAAGGTATTAAATTATCACATGTACCCTGAAAATAAATACATACATCTAATATATATCAATGCAAAAAAAAAAAATTTTTTTTTTAAGACAGAGTCTCACTCTGTCACCAGGCTGGAGTGCAATGGCGCAATCTCACCTCACCACAACCTCTGCCTCCTGAGTTCAAGCGATTCTCCTGCCTCAGCCTACCAAGTAGCTGGGACTACAGGCATGCAACACCACACCCAACTAATTTTTGTATTTTTAGTAGAGACAAGGTTTCACCATGTCGGCCAGGATGGTCTCGATCTCTTGACCTCATGATCTGCCCACCTCAGCCTCCCAAAGTGCTGGGATTACAGGTTTGAGCCACTACGCCCGGCCAAATTTTTTAAAGAACATAGAATCACATTTTTATTTTTTTAATGTATGACTGCAGGAGTTTTATGATCATCAAAAACTACAAACAGCCTAAATATCCATAAACAGGTAAATGAATAAACTAATTATGGTATCCATAAAGTGGAACACTACTCAGCAATAAAAAAAATAAAAAAAAAAAACTACTGATACACAACTACTGATGCACACAGCAACATGAATAAATCTCAAATATATTATTCTAAGTGAAAGAAGCCAGGATTTAAAAACTACATATTAGATGATTCCAATTAAATGACATATTGGAAAAGGCAAACTATAGGGATAGAAAGTGATCAGCGATTGCTAGGGATTGAGGTATAAGGAGAGGTTAACTACAAATGAGCAACATGAGCAAATTTGGAAGGTTTGGAAAATGCTTTAATTGTGGTGACATATATTTGTCAAAATTAATAGAATGAACGCTAAAAATAAATAAAAATGTTAATGTAGGACTGAAATCTGGACAAGAATACCTTTAAAAGTCAGCTACTAAAAATGTCAGAAATGTTTAAGATGAGTTGCTTATTTTTAGCACCAAAAAATGCCACACAATGATGCCAAAAGTTAATGTATCGCGTTCAACCACAACTTTTTATCCAGCCCCATAATTTAAACTACAAAACTATTTAAAAGGAAGTAAAATATTTTTCAATGTATGCAGTGAATATTGTACACAGTCGGCAGTAAGAAAATGTTTCTTAACTAATACACAATTTAACAGAGTTTAGACTGACTTGGCCTTTCTACTTTACTGGTACGTAACATGTAGCTTTAACCACAAAGTTATCTATTTCTCAAAAATATTAACATATAATTAGAAAAAGGAAGTGCTGTCCACAAAATACACTAACCTGAATTTGTCCAGTTAATCAACAAAGGCAATAAGTCACTTTATCTTGAACAAAAAGACCATTAGGGTCATTGATATCCTCTGAGCAAGAGCAGCAACCTGGAACAAAATAAAAATATATGAAATTCGGCCCTTCACTCAAGCTTCAGTTAGCATTATTTTATTTTTATATATATATATATATATTTTTTTTTTTTTTTTTTTTTTTTTTTTGAGACGGAGTCTCGCTCTGTCGCCCAGGCTGGAGCGCAGTGGCCCGATGTCAGCTCACTGCAAGCTCCGCCTCCCGGGTTTACGCCATTCTCCTGCCTCAGCCTCCCAAGTAGCTGGGACTACAGGTGCCCGTCACCTCGTCTGGTTAGTTTTTTTTATATTTTTTTTTTTTAGTAGAGACGGGGTTTCACCGTGTTAGCCAGGATGGTCTCGATCTCCTGACCTCGTGATCCGCCCGTCTCGGCCTCCCAAAGTGCTGGGATTACAGGCTTGAGCCACCGCACGCGGCCTATTATATATATTTTTAAATCCCTTTAACTTTTCCTTACATAGCCAATCACAATGAGACGTGACAATGTGCTAGCAGCCCTCATTCTCAGAGCCTCCTCAGCCTTGGTGTCCACTCTGGTGGCGCTTGAGGAACCCTTCAGCCCGCCACCGTACAGTGGGAGCCCCTCTCTGGGTTGGCTGAGGCCAGAGCCTCCTCCCCTCTGCTTGCGGGGAGGTGTGGAGGGAGAGGCGCGGGAGGGAACCGGGGTTGTGTGTGGCGCTCGCGGGCCAGTGCAAGTTACAGCCGGCACCGGCACGGGTATGGGTTCAGCCGGCCAGCACATGGAGCGGCCAGCTGGCAGCGCCAGCTCAGGGCAGTGGGGGGCTTAGCACCTGGGCCACCAGCCGTGGAGGTTGTGCCAGGTCCCCCAGCAGTGCCGGCCCGCCGGTGCTGCACTCAAATTCTCCCCGGGCCCTAGTTGCCTCCCCATGGGGCAGGGCTTGGGACCTGCAGCCCACCATGTCTAAGCTCCCCATCTGTGGCCAGAGCCTCCCCGACAGGCACTGTCCCCTGCTCCATGGCGCTCGGTCCCATGGACAGCCCAAGGACTGAGGAATGCAGGCACCGCTCAGGACTGGCGGGCAACTCCGCCTGCAGCCCCGCTGCAGGATCCACTAGGTGAAGCCAGCTGGGCTCCTGAGCCAGATGGGGACTTGGAGAACTTTTATATCTAGCTGGAGGATTGTATGTGCACCAATCAGCACTCTGTATCTAGCTAATCTGGTGGGGACTTGGAGAACTTTTATGTCTAGCTAAGGGATCATAAACACACCACACACCAACCAGCACTCTGTGTCTAGCTCAGGGTTTGTAAATACACCAATCAGTACTCTGTGTCTAGCTCAAGGTTTGTAAACACACCAACTGGTACCCTGTAACTAGCTAACTCTGTATCTAGCTAACCTAGTGGGGACTTGGAGAACTTTTCCCTCTAGTACTCTGTGTCTAGCTCAAGGATTGTAAACACACCAATCAGCACTCTGTCAAAACGGACCAATCAGCTCTCTGTAAAATAGACCAATCAGCAGGATGTGGGTGGGGTCAGATAAGGGAATAAAAGCAGGATGCCCCAGTCAGCCAGTGGCAACCCGCTGAGGTCCCCTTCTGCACTGTAGAAGCTTTGTTCTTTCTCTCTTTGCAATAAATCTTGCTGCTGCTCACTCTTTGGGTCTACGCTGCCTTTACGAGCTGTAACACTCTCCACGAAGGTCTGCAGCTTCACTCCTGAAGCCAACGAGACCACAAACCCACTGGGAAGAATGAACAACTCCAGATGTGCTGCCATTAAGAGCTGTAACACTCACCACGAAGGTCTGCAGCTTCACTCCTGACAGTGAGACCACGAACCCACCACAAGAATGTCCAGACACATCTGAACGTCTGGAGAAACAAACTTCGGACACACCATCTTCAAGAACTGTAACACCGCGAGGATCCGCGGCTTCATTCTTGAAGTCAGTGAGACCAAGAACGCACCAATTCCGGAAACAATAACATGCAAATTCACTTATTTTGTACATTGACTTATTCTGTAAGTAGCCCTTTCCAAATGTCAACGAAAAATGGGTTTTCATTTTGCAAATTATACCCAAACTCAGTAACACTCAGTGGCTTAATTTGCTCCATAGTTCAACTTAAAATAAGTTAGCACTCATATAACTTGCTTTGTGAATATAAAATTCTTTAACTTTGTCTATCTTTTAACATAAAAGGCATTCAGAAGTATACCTCTTTTCAGACCAAAGCTCAAAATCTTGTATTTCTCCTCGATTTTGTATGACACCTCGATTAGCTCTGTAACCTAGTTTCTTACTATCTTCTACACAAACTTCCACTAAAGCCAATTTAATTTTCTTTCTTTCCATAGAACAATCTGTTTATTCTCAGCTGTCGCCCCACAATACACCATTCCTTTTTTTAAAAAACAGGGATTTTTTTCTCCTTTATCAATCAATGCATATCCATCAGCTTTCTCAAAATCCATCCCCTCTATATCTCCCTGCCTAACAGCTGACATAATCATTCTATACTCCATTAATCTTCGCTAGAATATTTTGCTACCTTATACATGCACCATCTCATGCAGTCTTTTGATCAGGGACCCTTCTCCTACTTCATTTGTTGCTGCCTCTCCCTCATCCAGTATCATGTTTGGCACACAGTAATCAATATGATTAACTGAAAAGTGAAATGGCCTTAATAAAGATTCACACATCAAATGTTCACTGAGTATGTAGTATGTGCAGGTCACCAAGTACAAAAACCCAAGAACAGTACAAAGACACAATACATTCTATAGAAATGTGTCTTTCTGCTAGTCGCTTTACTCTTACGTCAACATGAGATTTTTCTCTGATTGACATTATTAATTGTGAGAAGTAGTTTTTCTCCAATGACATCAAAGTCTACTGAAAACAATTTTAGGCAATTACAACTAATATAAAAGCAATATCACCAACTTAAACTCCTCCCACCACGAAGGTAATACAACTATTTTCTTTTTTTAAAGATTTTAAAATTTATTTTGTTTTACTTTATTGTAGAGACTGGGTCTTTCTATGTTGCCCAGGCTGGTATCAAACTCCCGGGCTCAAGTAATCCTCCTGCCTCAGCCTCCCAAAATGCTGGAATTGCAAACATGAGCCACCTTGGAGTGCAAAAAAACCAAGAATAATAATGCTTTATTATTTACATTACCTCATAGATCTATTTGAAGAAAACATAGTCAACTACTCCCAAAGCCCATAAACATACAATTACCAAATAGTCATTAAGTCTAAAATCAGCAAAGGTTTACTGTAATTCTTTCCTGTAACTTCACCCAAAAGTCTTTGCCAAACTCCACAATAATCCAATAGTATGAAATGTATGCCTCCAGCCATTATGGAATAACTGGTAACAGATTTACCCTCAGATGGTAAGCAACTGCAAAACCACACAAAAATACATGACCGTTTCCAGACAGTGAACAACAATTAGTATAGATCTGTGTTCCCTGAAACAAGAAAACAAACTACATAAGGCCTATGACCACACTGGCTTTCTGCCTAGAGACATGTTCTAGATACCCTTGCCAACAGGGAAATTCAAAGCAGAATACAGCAGTTCTGCTAACTTGAAAAGAACGGAGTTTGGAACAGTGGAGGTGGCAAGAATTACTAGAATAATATACCAGAAAGGAGAAACTTAAGCAGAAAAAAGCTACAGATACGTACATTGGGGTCTACTTGAGTCGTCAACTAAATACTAATCTACACATGCTTAGGATGAAATTCCATAAAGTCAGACAAAAACATCTGCCAGGAGGTAAAATATGAACAACTCTGGGTTGACACTGAGCTCGGAGACATCTGAGTTCCATCCAGCCACAGTAGAGACATCTCTTTACACTCTAGGCAATAGGTACAGACCTCAGGAGGGCTAAATTTGTCCTAGAATAAAGATTACTCTGTAATGATCCCAATAGAGCTTAAAAACAAGTCTTGAATGGACAATATGATCCTCAGTTTAACATCTGTAACCAACAGCCAGAATGGAAAAGTCTCATAATTCATGAAGCATAAACTATTCAGAAAGGTTTTGCCTAGTAGTCAGGAAAATTAAGTGGTTACACTTAACAAAGATTAAAAGCAATACCTAAAAGTTAAAAAAACACTTTCAAAGAGCTTCAATACAGACCAGGAAAAAGTTCAAAAAATATCTACAGGCACCGGGGCTGGTGGTACGCACCTGCAGTCCCAGCTACTCTGGAGGCTGCAATAGGAGGATCACTTGAGCCCAAGAGTTGAATACTGCCATGGGCTATGATCATGCTACTGCACTACACTATTGCCCAGGCAACAGAGCAAGACCCCATCTCTTAATAAAAAAATAAAAATAAAAATAAAGAATATAGGAATATAAAAATGTCCAGCACCCAACAAGGTACAACTTACAATGTTTTATTTTACATGCCTGATATGCATCAATTAATTAACAAGCAGGTTAAAAAAATTAAGGCAAGAAAATATAGCCAAAAGGAGAGCTATCAATCAATCAATCAAAACCAACCCAGAAATGACAGGGTTGGTAGAATTAGGAGACTAGGACATTAAAAGTTATTATATATCTGTTCCATGTGTACTAAAAGCCAGAAGAAAGGTGAAGTATATTAAGTAAAGACACAGAACAAAAAAGACCCAAGTTGAACATCTAGAAATAAAAAGTAGAAGGTTGGAGGTCCTCTACCTGACACACCTGTTGAATTATGAAGTTTTTTTGTCTGATGGATTCAGGCCCTATTCCTAGCCACGTGTGAGCTGAGTATTGTATTATTCCCTTCAATTCATTTTCGGTGGTTCTTCCGCAGCTTCCTGTAGTTTCCTTACAGGCATATATCGATCACTAGTCAACTGAATTCTTGAAAGGAATTTCTACAGATCTGTGAAGTTCTGTCTCTTGCAGCTTTCTCCTCTCTCGTACTCTACCTTGTGAACTCTAGCTGCCTTGGCCCCCCAATCTCCCAGCTAGCTCCACCTCTTCAATACAGAGAAATCTCTAGGCTCCTTCTGGGTTC